AGAGCGAGAGCGTGCACCGACGTACGAGAGAGAGACGAGCGGCTGTCGGACCTGCTACCCCAGGAGGCCTAGACGGAGATCGTGCCGGTGAGGTGACCCTCTTTAGCGTATGTGAAGTCACGGGCTGAGTGAGAATCTTGCTCGCACTCTGCGGACGGGAGCGCCATTTTTAGTGTCCGAGTTTCGTCGCGTGCGCCCCTTCGGCGACGCGTATCGGCTAGTACTCTTTGGTTTGGTGTATCGGCGTCCGTCCTCAAGTGCGAGGATTCTCACAGACTCTGCCGTGAGCGATCGGGAGTGTCGCGAATCGCGTGTCGAGCCACCCGGAGATCGTCGTCGCGAGTTCGCCGCAAAGCCCTCGCGCCCGAGCGCGCGAGCGTTAGCGTAAGTGTGAGTGAGTGCGTGGAATCACGAGGCCGCGCGCCGCGCTGTAGTGTGACCTCGCGCGTGATTTCCTCGCGTATCGGTGTGTGTCGCTTTTCTGTCAGCTTCGTTTTCGTAGTCTCGGACGCGCAGATTCACGAACGATTTTCGCGTAAATAACTGTGGTCGTTAGACCTCGGTACTCGCGTCGTACCGAGCCCCGTACTTTATTGTATTATCGCGCCGTCGCGTTTCATACGCGTTTCTTTTCGTTCCGGCCGAAGTTTATGTCGGTTTCGTGTCTTTTTCTTTTGCTACGTGGGAGTGGTATCTCGCTGCCGGACTCCCCGCGCGCGGGATCAATCGCGTCCCGTACTATCTTTCTTACCGAACCGACATTCTTACGCTATTATCTTCTGTTTCTTTTTTTTCACCGTTTATCATTGCCGTTCCGAACGGCCAATAAATCTGTTATTATTTTGTTACTATTAATCCGTTGGAGTACGAATTCTTTCGCCCGCCCCGCGCCATCCCATCGCCCTTTTTCCTCGCCCTGCCCCTCTGCCGTTAGGCGGAGCCGGCCGGCCCTCGCGCGATCGACATCGGGAGCGGCGTTTACGGGTCAAGTATCGTTGCGTGTACGAATTTCGGCAATCGTGAAGTTTCGCGAGTGACGTGACCAAGAACACGTCT